GACGTGAGAGGCTCGTTGCATCGGCGAGGAAGAGGGGTAGATCATGCGCTCTGCATTCACACATTGGCTGGCGCGAAGGGTGGTGGATTTCTCAACCCTCGTCGTCAGTTTGACGCTGCGTGCGAGCGCATACAGATCTGTCGCGATCGCCGACTCGCGCGCGCGAAAGAGGAGAGGAATTTTTGGGGGGAAGAGAATTGAGAGAAAGGAAAGTTCCCGCTGTTCTTCCACAGGGAAACCCGTCGTAAAATGATCGCCGGCAGAACGAGTCCGCACGCTCGATTCGTCGATCCAACTTGACCCTCGATTACAGCCGATCGAGAGGCGCGAAAGAAAGAAAAGCACGCCGTCAGAAATTCGCTGCCCGTAATGTAAGATGGATCGCACGCGATATCTTCTCTTCTTCGTTTTTCTCTCTCTTTTTTTTTCTTTTTCTTTTTTCTAGGAGACACGAGAGATTGCGAGCGACGCGGTTCAATTCGTGCGATTGAAAGGGCTACGTCGATGTACGTCGGTTAATCCGATTATCAATCTCGAACATTTATGACGGATGAGCGATTATGAACGATTCACGTATAATTGTTCAGAAACGATTAATGACGCCGGTTTAATGCAGAATGGAATTCAATAGGATATTGTTGATCCATCGAGTTAATTAAAAAATAGCATTCTGGTTTTTTGGAGTTTTCGCTCTTTATTTGATAGAAAAAAAAAAAAGAAAGATGAATATACACGTCACAATACGGGACGTTAATCGAAAAGAATGGGATTAAATGTCGGATATTGTTAAAAAATGGATGCATTTTGAAACAAGTTTTTAATCTGAAGGGGACAATGTGGCATTGTAAATCGAATTTTAAAAACAATTTGATAAGATTGATAAAATCTAGAAAGAGTTGATTATCAAGGAAATTAGAATAGTTTTTCGGTGCCGTGAAAAAAAAAAATCACGAAAAACTCCCTTCTATTGTCTCTTTAGTTTGGAAACAATGCATCAATGTAGGTTAAATTCTTGCGATTTTTATTTTTACTCTTTGTAGTTTTCGTTCGAAGAAATAGAAAAAAATTTGTGAAGAGATTCTATTGGGGAAGCCAAACTAATTATTCGGTGTTATGGGAAAAAGGATCATTTTTTTTCAAAATGATTATTTATTAATGATTATTAATTTGATCAATTAAAAACGGCACTTCCTTGTATAGATTAAGTTTCCGTGGTCATCAGGATTTCGCCGAATGAATGAAATTCCATAAAACCGCGGGGCGTTTATCAAAAGACTATATTAATGTATAATCGAGTATATTTCAAAGCAAAGTGATTAATTTGCGTAATTATGCAACAATGTTTCGATATGGATTTAATTTTTGTTAATAGGATTTCAATTGCTAAACGCAACTTTTAACGTCAATTTTGTATGGACGTTATTTCTGATGAAATCAATATATTATGCTATCTCTCGTTATTTTCACAAAGGTTGATGATGATCATATCATTGAAGGCACATTTAATTCGTGATGATTTATTGTTACGATAATTTGCATTTGTACGTTTTTGGGCATCACATTTAAATTCCATCGTTGTTTAACGTCCCTATCGAGAGCAAGGTAATTTGCGATTAAAATTAACGATGCAAAAAAAATACACGTGTTACAGTGTTCTTCCACTTAACGGTCCACACAATTGCGTAGGATATGTGAGTAACACGCGTTACATAAACAATTACGAATATACGATTACAATTGTCTGGCGCTAAACAAGCGAACAAACAGGAAAATTATTGACCAGCGAAACAAATATGTGTACGCTCAGATATGTGTACGCTCTATAACAATTAGACGTACAACAATGTTTGAAGCGTCAACACTGTCATTAATCGCTAGGGGGTCGAAATGGCGAGACACGCCTAGGGATAAATTTGTCGCGTATCCAATCCGTTAAAACGCCGCCTAAATGCCGTGAATGTTCGCGCCCTTGGCGACAGATTCATCAACGTGCGGCAATATATACACGATATAATGTGAGTGTGTCGTAATCTACGATGACGTGTGTGAATCACAAAATCTGGATTGGAAAGGACAGATCGGAACGTTATCGTCAGTGAGAATCTAGATTAATTGCAATTTGCACCTGTGTGAAATTGCTCGCGAGGAAACGGAATCGCTCTAGTCTAATCAATTGGAGAACTTTTTATCGCTCTGGATTCGCAGAATGTAACGATCGAGCGATAATTATAATACGAGATCGACGAAATTGTCGATCAATCATAACCCGGATCGGGAAATCGGTACCTTAAATCAATGTGATATCCGCGAGACATCGCGCGATTTCACTTTTTCGATTTTTCATATCTTCGCTAATTCCAATCGATCCGATAAAATATTAGCGCCGGGATTGGACTTTTGCAAAATTCGCATGAGTCGCGCGAAAATTGACTGAGGGATATCTGCGTGGAAATCGGATTATCGCGCGCGCGCGCGAAAGAGAGAGAGAGAGAGAGAGAGAGAGAGAGAGAGAGAGAGAAGAAGAGAGAGAGAGACGAGAGCGAGGAGAGAGAGAGAGAGAGAGGCGAAAAGAGAGAAGGAGAGGATGGGTGACATCTCGATTAGTAGCCCGCGCAAAAACACTCTACCCGCGGTCTAATCTCAAGAGCAACGAGAACGGATCACCGACAGATCGATTTACCGCAACGGTATCCACCCCCGAAAGCAGCGATCGTGTATCGCTTGTTAAAAAAAAAACAAACATTGAAATAGCGCTGGCTTCGAGGCGGAAGATAAGTTGATTGTGGAGCTGCCGAGAGGAGCTATTAAGTATCGAGTCTATTAAGGGATACCATCCATTAAAGACCATAAAGAGGAGAGGATGTAAGATTGTGCGGAGATTCCGGAGGATGCTGAGCACCGAGACCTATTAAATACCGTGAGGAGGGAACGCGTAAGATTGCGAAGATGTTCAAAGATAGGATCTAAATTAAGAACCGGCGCAATTCAGGAGGAGAACGTAAAGAGTTGCTAAAGGTAAAATCCTTTAACGATCCCGCAAAATATCGCACGATATAATAATCGCGTTGACAGAAGCGGACGGAGTTGCAAGTATGATTGTTACGAGAAACTAATAACCGAGGTGTAACGTTTCAAGTCACTCGCGCGTGATCCCGGGAAGTATAATTCGAGCGTACACGCTGTCGGAAAGAGAGATGGGCGGCGGTCGCTTTGCGGAGACGCTGGAATTAATTTGCGGGGAAGAGGCGCCAGCGCTAAAATTGATTCTCAAGAAACATATAATTGCTCACTAATGTATCAGACATGTCACGTTATCGCGAGCAGCTGTTACAAGCTGGTGGTTACATGCGAACGATAATCACGTCGCGGAGATGCTGGGATTGAGATCGATTAGGCTCGAGCAAACGTGTCACCGCGGGCGGATGTAACAGGCGGACGGTTCGTTGCGAACGGGAAGATGAGCGGCTGAAGATGAGTGCGTCAGGCTATTGGTGCGCGCTCATCCTGCTCACGTTCACGCAAGATTCCCTCGCCAGCCGTCACGAGAAGCTCTTCCAGGTCGAGAAGCCGAAGGAGTACCTGCGGCATCAGCAGAACCATCGCTCGACGGCTTTCGCCGACCGCAAGCTCGATCCGACGGAATTTCGTGCCGCTGAGGTTCGCCCGACGATTATTCATCCGAGCGCGGAAATCGCTCGCTCGGAGGCGGCGACGGCGACGGCGACGGCGACGGCGACGGCGACGGCAACGGAAAATCGTCCGATAATCGCGCGGGATCATCCCGGAATCAACCTCTTCCGGTCGACGGAGATCCATTCCGCGAGATACGAAAGTCGTTCGCGCGCGAACAATCGTCCCGAGGAAATACGCTCGACTCCGGAGAATCTCGCCGGAATCGCGAAAATGCGCCCGATGGAGAATCGTCGCGCCGTGGCGATACGCTCGGCAGAAATTTTCCCGACGTCGGCACGTTATTCTACGGAAGTCGTCCACGGCTCCGAGAAAGTTCGCGTCTCCTCGGCTGAACTTCGCACGGAAGTTGCGGATGAGCGGACTGTGAGAATCCGTTCCGCGGAAATGCGTTCGCAGGCGGAAGATCATCATCCCGCGGAGGAAGTCTCGCCGATGACGGGGACCCGGCCGATGGAAATTCTATGGACGGAGATCGAACAGGCGGATACGTCGAGCATCGAGAGATCGCAGATCCGTCACGGGAGATCCAGGAGCCATTTTGCGCGACAGAAGATAGAGGATTCCGCGAGGGACGGCTCGAAGGATGCGGCAAATAGGATCAAGACCGTTCGCGAGGATCATGAGAATCACTTCAAGATACGCCAAGTGGAAAAAGTGAATGATTTTCCGGAAGAATCCGTTTCACCGAGGCGTAATCATTCTTGGCTCCTCGAGCGGAATTTCTCAAAGGATAACTCGATCAACAGCCAGCCCCTCGATCGAATTGAGAATAATGTTTCAGAGGGATTGGAGAGTTTACTCAAGTTGTATCAGGATAAGAAAGGAAGCGTCATCGAGGAAAGTACCGCCGTTTCTCTCACACGTAATCTTTCTTGGCTGATTGGACAGAATAATTCCAAAGGTAATACACCGGGGAACAGCCGATCCGCGGATCAGATCAAGAGCGAGGCAGACCTTCAGGATGCGTTTAAAGCGCATCAACCCGAGAACCACGGTATTCTGCGCTCGAGTCCCGATTCCCTCAAGAGTTCCTACAAGGAGGATCCTCTGAGCAAATTGAGGAGGGTAATGTCTCTGAATAGGACCGCCGTGCCGGCAGCTGCGACCGAACGGAACACAACCGAGACGTTCAGCATCGACGCGGCCGAGGACGCCAGCGAATCCGCCCGCGATCTCGAGGAGGAGGCCTCGGGGCTGGATTACACGAGTTATGAGGAACCGTCGAACGTCTCGTCGTCCGATCAGTCGTCGGCTCGCAAGAGACCGCAGGCCGCCCAGGTCGACATCGTCACGCGTTTCCTGCGGATAATCGAGAATCAGCACACTCTGGGCGAGAACTGCACCGCGGGCACGGATCTGAATCTTGGCGAGGGCGTGGTGGACCAGTACGCGCAGGAGAGATTCCGACTGGAGGCGGAATTCGCCGTGAATCGCGCCAACATGCTCACCCGACTCTGGAAGTACGCGCCGGAAGTGATGCTGTCGTCCGAGTATCTGTTGCACGCGAGCGTTCTCTCAATGGTCGAGTTTGACGAGGATATCTTCGCCGCCGGCAACTGTTACGACAAGTTGCAGTATCGTGGCCGATGGTTGTACTGTCCGTTCGCTCATCGGCTACCCAACCAGGACGGCGTTCTCGTGAAAGACCTTGCGATCCAGTACAAGTACTTGAGCAACAGCAGCGAGTGGTTCTACATCGCCCGGAAGAACGCCGAGAGGGTGATCGCCAGTTACGAGCAATTCAGCCGAGGCAAGTTTTATGATGGTTATTAATATTTCCTTTATTGCACTTATTGATATTGCCAGGACGACAGGTTCCAGGGGAACCAGCGATAGGAAAGAAGTTGATTAAGTTCTTTCAAGAAGCGTGCTCGCTAAATTAAGTCGAAGGCTTCTTGAAGTGAATTTTTATGAAAATTCCTGTTTTAAAGATTACTTAAGATAAAAGAAGGGAAAGAGGAACGAAGCGAAATTAATGTACAGGGAGACCAATGAGAATTTATCGAATTGCCAATATTAATTTACCAGGCACGCAGATTTACTTTTAAAGAATGGTAATAATTATGCATTTAATAGTCACGCTAGATTCACGTGAAATTAATTAAACGCTTCTCTAACAATTTTATAATTACATGTATATACTGTATAAAGGGAATAAAGAGAAATTTGAGAATCCGAATGAAGTCACGTTAGAAATCACGTGAAATTTACGTACTAAGTACATCTGATAATTCGCAAATATCGTCTTTATAATTTGTAATTGTGTGGACAGTTAAGCAAGTCGATAACAAAACGAGCGCGGACGTTCGCGAATGCCCGCAGGTAAAATTACAGCAGCATATACACCAGTGGCGGTCAATTAGTTTAGCAAGCAATAGTAATAGGTAGTTGTGTAACTACAGCAGTAATTATAACATGGTACTCAAATTTATAATATACATTACTACAAGATTGTTGCTTCATTACGGTAACATAGGATCAGCAGAATTGTATAACCACTTTATTTCATTACTGCTTTCATTACATATACTTTTTGTTATGTTATATTACCACTTGTTTTGCGTGTATCATCATAATGTGTTGTGTAGTAATTATCAAATTACATTATTGAATTACTATCATATTTTGTAGTATAAACATTACTGTTTGCTTCAAGCATTTCTTATCTTAAACAATCTTTTTAACGATTTCTTCTACTTTGCGCTTCTATATTGCACTCCTCTGTAAGATGGGATGGTACTTGTAGATGCCCGCAGGGCATCGTCCATCTGTCAACTTCTTGAATAAACCGTTCCATTTTTAGCAGACAGCTACAATGATTACATTTTTCGTTTAACTTAATTTCTTTCGCTGCGCAAACTGAAAATGTATGTCGCGAAAGGATTATGTTATTTAATAATTTTAAAATTCCGTTTAATCCATTATACTTAATTAATAAATATATTTAATAATTATTTTTAAAATTTTTTAAAACGGAGAATGTTGTTATTTGCATTATTTAATTAATTATATAAAATTATTAATGTCCATCGCAAACTTATGGAAACATTTTGCGTGATAATTTTGCACAATAATATACCGTATGAAGAAAAATCCGTGATTTCCTTTAATTCACAAAGAATTTTAATTTATAATGTGTATAATCGTTTCTTTTATAACAAAGCATTTTATATTTTACAATATATTGTTGGCAAACGAGAGATGTCGTTATTTTTATGCAGAAAAACAAGCTCGTCACATTATAGTAAATATTTTCAAGGAAAGTACTTTTCTCTTCGATACCATTTTTTATCTTAAGTCGTTTAAGTTTCAACTCGCGAAATATTGCTTTTCTCAGTAAACGATTTAAGCTTGTTAACCCTTTGCCGTGTAACTTTTTTAATCTCGCCAATGGTAGGCGGACGTCCTTTTTAGGGTGCGTGCGAGGGGAGAAGTCGTATAAAATGAAGTATGGACAGAAACAAAAAAACGGACTATTTCTGATTATTTAATCTTGTAAATGTATTAATTTTATATATGTGTTTCTTTGAAATCGTGTCTTTTATTTCTCTGGTGAGAAAAATTTCCTTAATGCTAAATTAAATCAAAACTTAAAAAAGTAGATTTTCTTCTAAAGTTAAACTGCTTAACATGTTTAACAAAAAATATATAGAATAAATAGAAAAATATATAGAACAAGGTATATTTGAATTAAAATAAAAAAATGTCAACAGCTCTTCATCTGACTCAAAAATTTTTATCAATTTTTTTGAGAAATATTTTGTAACAGAATACATTTTCGTAACAAAATGAAAATTATGAAAGAGATAGATAAAAAATGAATAAGAAAATGAGTGAAGAATCCGTGACATATTTTTGGTGTTTAGTCATTTGCATATATAAATTTTTGCATAAATTTTTGCATACACAAATTACATATATTTATTTTATAAAATATTTATTATGTACAATAAAACACACTATTTATAGTTCTACTTCATATTTATTAATGCTTAGGTATTGATACTTTTTAACCTACGAGAAAGGTCTATGAATTAAAGTGCCCGATCAAATAACACTCTAGAGAGTGAACATATGATTTATCTTCTTTGTCAAATTTATTGTGATATACGATTTATCTTCTTTATCAACTTTATTTTTAAAAGTGTGATATTATATAATTTTATATAATTTGATGTTTAGTTTTATATTAAAGTTTAATATATCGAAAAAAAACGTAAAAAGGGGAACATTTTTTTATGGGACGCTTCTTGATAGAGAGGGTTGCACTCTCTTATTGATTGAATCGAAATCTTTGTCGATAATAGTCTAGTTATCAATTCTCTGAAGTAGAAATAATTTAAACAAAGAGCTCGAATCAAGTTTCTCCCAAGATAAGGAGTGTTTCTTAAACGAACTGAAGCGACTCTTTACAATTTTAAATTTTGAAATTACAATTTCTGATCTTTTAAATTTTGATCTTCATCTAAAGTTAACGATTTTATTTCAGAAAACCACATAAAAAATAAACAAATTACTCGAGAAGAATTTTCCATAAGAGACGGAATGATAATGACGTATATCGCAATGTGTAATGTTCGAGAACTGTTTAAAGCAGATAGAAAATTTTGCGGGAAAGCTTAAGAAATATAAGGTGAAAGCTAAACATAGCTGTCGAAGAAATCAGACGACGGTGAAGAAGTGATATAAGGGATATCGATGAGTAATGCGCTATGGTAGCAGAAACAACAGAAACTGCTGCGGCACTGCTTGCCTTATTTATAGGACTTTTAAGCAATATTCCATGATATATGTTGTTGGACATTGAGTCAAGGAGAGTAAAAATATGCATTACACATAAGACGGCAAGTTACGGTACAACCAATGCATGTATTTATTAGATGCATTATTTATACGTCAAAATCAAAAAGAAATCCGATAAGAAATAAATTTTATAACGAATTGCCTACGTTATTTGCTGGACAATGTATTCCGTAGACGTACAAATTGAAATAAATGTTTGGTGTCAATGTGGAATACGAATAATGCAAATGATTTTTAAAAGTAAAGTAAAATTGCATCTGGAAAGCAAGGAGAGGAAAAAGATGCACGTGGAGGAACGAATATATACATATATATATATATATATATAATTAATTCTAATGTGATGGATCTCGCTTATTGCGTTTTCGGGATTTCCGCTTACGAGAACGAAGGGGTCCCAGTAATGGCGCGAGGTGATTCTGGGAAATGTCCAGAGATAACAAAAATAACCGAAATAAAAACTGTTCGCGATATAACGTGTTGAAGTTAAAAAAGTATCACAGCGCACCATATATTTTCATTTTTACCGGAAGATGCCTCGCGTGTTGCGAAATCATCCGTCATTTATGTCCCCGTGGAATTATGGAACCTTTATTATGCGTTCGTATTCGCAATATGAATTTAATACCGAACCCTTTGTGCATAGCCGTTAAATTAGAAATTCAAATAAACCGATCATTTCGCATTCCGCGAGTGCTATCGCATATACTTGGCATCGATCATTTCGTTGGCAGATTTTCAAACGATCCGCGTAATAAGATGATAATGGTCAAAATTATAATGATTGTATATCGCTCGTGAATTCATACAATTTGTTTGATTCCTTTATGGATCACGATCCCACGGCTAATTATTTAGTGCCCATTCCATTGTTCGGGCAATACAAAAGAGAAAAAGAGAGACAGCTCACGCGATAGAATTAATTATGATCGCTATTGCTTAGAGAAATTTATATCTTTTCTCTTCGAGTCATTTTTCATTAATTATACAATGATATTATTGGTTATAATAATTATCGATGTGTAAGTCTTTTTATCTTCCATTAAAAATTGTTATAGTAATTATCACACAGATGCTGCGACGCGCTCGAATTCTAGGAATTTTTAATTACTGGAACATTGAAAGTTGAAAATCGATTATTCTGGTAAACAAAGTCTCTCAAATCCAATGATATTTTTGCTCATCTATCTAAGTATTTATCTATCAGCTTATCTCTAATCTTCTTTTCATCGATTCCATAAATTTTTTATTGATACTGATTCGCGAATAATTGCGGCTTCTTGCAAGCGGGTTGCTTCGATTAGCGACTTGGACTTTGTGTTTGTACATCAGACTTGCGGACGTATTTTTACAAGTGCATGCACCCGAATAAGGAAAGGGGCGCGATCGATCGATTCCATGTATTAACTATCGAAAATAACTGGCCTTTTGACCCGAAGTATTAGCCGCAGAAACATTAACGTTCCGCTCGTTGTTGCATTAATTAGCACCTAAATCAAACGTACGTTAATTAATGCATAAGTTAATCGCACAATATGCTGCTGACAATATGAGCGGAACATTCAATATTTATGCAATTGCCATTGTTCTATTCGACTGCTTATCGTTTGACCTATTTTATCGTTCAATACCAAAGACAATTGCCTGAATTTATGTGTAAGACGAGAGAAAAATGACTGTGATAAAACACATTAACGCAGTTTAAAAAACAATAACAATTGTAATTATTTATATAAATAAATTAAATATTAAAAGCAATAAATTAAAAGTTAAAAGCTTTGCCACGTGACTTCTCGTCTCTCATATCGCAAGTAGTTATTTATTTAAAAATTGGATTTCGGAAATATGTGGAAATATGTAGTACGATTAACAAGAATAGAATTGATTAGAGAATGAACTCGGAGGATAATTCGAATTTTAAATTAAAAAACCGTTTGCTTCCGGTTG